CTTTGTAGTGTTTTAGCTCGGTGAGCTCTAACCGTGCCACCTCATCTTCGGCAGCCCTGAGTGTGGCATTCTGAGTAGCATCCGGATGTTGAAATGGGGCTGCTGTGGCGCGTCGTGCTAATAGTCCAGATCGCCGGGGCCACCGCGGAAAAGGATTCCTGGGGATGGGAAGCAGCAGCCCTCAGGACGGAGATTTACTGCACCCCTGTTAGTGTTGCAGGCCTACAGAAAAAAAACCCTCATTAAGACAGCATAAATTATTAATGGGGGCGAGGAGAAGTGAGTGTGCTGGTGAAGCCCTGACTCACCCTATCGAAGCCTTACAAGGGCAGTCAGCCACTTTGTTGCAGCTCTCAGCTACTCATTTATTACAATGATACCAGGGTCGTACCCCTCAGAGGGTCTGAGAAGCATGGAGGGGGGGGGGGGCACGGCAGGTTTGGGGAGGGCTGGCTTTCTTGCTAGGGGCCGTTCCGGCTTATTTGAGCCAGCGCTGATCAAGGAGGGGGTCGCATGGTGATAAATCTGCACGGACAGACGCAGGCCACAAAGCACGGCTCGTCACCCTGCACGTTCTGTGAGGCACAGTGACACTGAGGTGGGGGTCACCAACTAATTCTTATTCGCGTCTCTGATTTTCACCGTGCTTGTTCTTCTTGGCTGCGAGGTGTCGGACGGACAGGATGTCATACTAATTCCTCATACCGTTTGTCCTGTAATTGCTTGATGCTTTAATTTCTTTCAGAACTGTGATCTGAGCGTGATGCCGACTGAAAAAAAAGTTTGATAGTCAGGGCTTAGGACTTCACACCTAAGGAGTCTTTTAGACTAAAGGTTCGATTGTGTTGCAGGTGCTGTCCTATCACGCGACATGTTCCAAGACGGAGGTGGACAAGTTCAAGGTGAGTTGCGTCATCTGAAACACAGTGACAGGTTTTAAACGCACGTCTGTCGTTAATCTTCTCAGATGATTCAGCAGCGTACACACCAGGCTAGTATTACAGGTCATTACGGGAATAAGTGGGGGGGGGGGAGGGGGGCATTCATCCATCTTCCAACTGCTTTGTCCTGGTCAGGGGGAATAGGAACCGATACCATTCAGTACAGGGCTGGAATACACCCTGAATGGGATGCACACGCACACGCACACGCACACGCACAATTACATGCTACAGGCAACTTGAGAGGTGCCAGTCCATTTAACTGAATGTCTTTGGGCTGTCATGGGAAGACAGAGGAATTAGAGGAAACCCACATGAGAACATGCATACTCCACACACACACAACAGCGGAGGCGGGACTCAAACCCCCAAAAGTGGAAGCTTGACGCAGAAGTCCTACCCACTGAGCTACTGGGCCACCTGGGGATTTACTTTTTATTTTGGTTTTCGGGAAACTAGATACCTCACACCAAAGTAGGGTAGTTGTGTTTGATTTTTTAAATCTAAAGTTGTCATACAATCAGACTGCAAAACAATTGAGAAAACTGGGATATGAAGGGGTCACAGGGATCATACATAGTGTTGAAGGACGGCAACACAAAGAGCGGGGCAGTAATGGCTTCATGTCAGAGATCTCGTTCTGCAGACCAAGCTGAGCTCTTTGTCAGATCCTTAGTGATTTCTTACAAGAAGAGTTTAAGAAATTAATCCAAGCACAAATTGTAGTTCCCTGCCTTTGTGGCCAAGGTAAACCAGGTAAGAATATGGCAGATTTGTGGGTGGATCAGAATAGGAATTTGTTTATTTATTTTGTTTGTTTATTTTAACATACGAGTAATTTACTTGGAGGTGTCGTGCACGGTAAGCCAGGTCAATCAAGATAATCGACATATAAATGAGTGCAGATAATGTGTACAGTGCAATACAATGTCGCAGCAGGTTAATTTGATGGGCTGCTGGGGGGGGTAATATGCTTGGAGTGATGTAAAAGTAGGTGATTAGATGGACAGGGGAACGGACCAAATCAATGGCTGTTGACTAGGCCTACTGACATAGGGAAAGAACTGGTCTTCAGGCGCATGGTTTTGGTCTTGATAGACCTCGACAGACCTTGATGGATGGATTGTACAGACGTAATATTTATAGATGAATAGAATGAAGTCTTACTCCCGTTTGTCTAAACTCAGTGGTTTTATAATTGAATTGGACAGTGCTTTAGTACATATTTTGTACGTTACATTAGGCTGAGATAAGACAGCCTTGCATGGAAGCTTCTTTTATTCCAGAAACGTTGCTGCTACAATGAATTTCCATTCCATGAATTACATAAGGAAAAATGAGTGCTACGGCGGTTCCCCCGCTCCCCCCCGTTCCTGCCACACATGAGGCCTTGCTGTACAAGGCTGGGGGCAGCAGGGTATTTAACACACCACAGGTCGCACAGGATCCCCTAGAGGAGTCGCGACTTGCATTCCCCCACTGAAAGACTGCCTGTTAAATTTAGCGCGTTGGCCGGCTGCTGGAGCCACTAGTAGCGGTGAGCTACCCGGCGTGTCGGCTGCTCCATCTAAGCCACTGGCGGGGGGGGATTTCACAGCCTAGTGTGAGAATATGCACATGTGGTGTTTAAGCTTTTTTATATCATCCCACCCAGACCTCATATCCAGATATGGCATGCTAATCAGACAGAAAGACTGTTAAGGATCTGTGGGGTGATTAAAATACATTAACCCAAGAAGAACTTTGCATGCATTTGAGACTCTGACTCTGAACAAAACACTGAACGGAAAGCAAGCATGGTGATAAAATCCCTTCAGAAACTGAGACTTTAATGTTGCAGTCTTAGTATTTTGGGTCACACTAATTAGTATTTATTCGTTAGTGCGGGTGACGCATACTGCTACAAATCACACCTACAGCAAGATCACTACATCGCGATGGAGATTAGATCACCATGTTCAGGCACTGCGTAAAAATTGCGGGGGGGGGGGGTATTGAAACAGATTGCCATCATCAAGCACAGTGTACAATTTGAAGTGGATTCAAACAGACTCCCAAGCTTCATGCACTGCGTAAAAACCGGACGCTCCAAATCCAGGTGCTGCATAAAACCCAAATGAGATTCAAACAGACTCGCAAGTCAAGGCACCGAGTTAAAAAAACGAAAAGGATTCAAACATCCTCATGTCAGGTGCTGCATAGAAACCAAACAGAATTCAAACGTATCCCCAAGTCCAGGAACTGCATGAAAACCAAAACGTGATTCAAACACAGCCAAGTCAAGGCAGAGTGTAAAAATCTAAGGTAGATTTAGGCAGACTATCATATCCAGCCCAAATGTGGAAAATTAAAGGGGGACTCAAACAGACCCTACCCCACAGCCCTGAGACACAGACAAAAGGTGAACTGTGTGTCACATGGAACTGTTGCACCAAACCCATTTGAAGTTACAGCCATGGGCTGAAAGTGAGATCTGTCTCGCGTTCTCCCTTTTGCATAGTGTAATCATCACTTTTAATCTGCACGTCCAACAGGCTGCCTCAGCATCCACAGAGATACAGCCCTGAAAACGTGGCCAAAAGAAGCATCTTCCAGCCTCAGTCATCTGTCTGGGCTGTGCCGTTCTGAATCGAGGGCCTCTGATCGATATGCAGACGTCACTGGCTTCTCTCAGGCGGGGGTCGGGGGTGACCGCATGATTCTCAGATGAGTTATGAGCTGGGAGTGTGCAAATAGGCACGCAGTCACTACATCAAGCATAGTGGCCGCATTACTGCCTACCGCCCAGTCAGGTGCTTTGGGCCAGCAGATCATCAAATGGGACCGTTGTCACATCTTCCATCTGTCTCGGCCTGAACGATCCACCACCTAAGCAAAAAACTAAAATGTCCAACCATCCATCTACTAATTCCTCATCCCGGTTAGAGTTGGGGTGAGCCTGGTGTCTGTCCCTGGCAGCACAGGGCACAAGGCTGGGGTTCACCCTGGGTGGGATGCCAGAGCATACAAACAGTCATACACTACATGCAATATAGAAATACCTGTAAGCCTAACTGCAGGTCTTTGGACAGTGGGAGGAAACCTATAAAATCTAAATATAAAATCTAACTGCAGATCCAGGTGGCCCCCCTTGAAAAAGGAAGCCTGTCTGTTTCACCCTAGCAAATCTATTCAGGGTGACACCATAGCCGGCTGTCGGCACAGGCCTGGCTCAGATCTCTGCGTTTTGGGTTTACCTCACAGACACCAGCGGGCATGCAGCAAGCCAAAGCGCTGACAGATGGCTCTCTGTAAGCTCGATGTGCCATACTGAGAACGACCCCCGCTAATTAAATAGGTACTGACCAGGGCCACTGCTCTCCACCATATGAAACTGAGATGGAATGATACTGTACAGGTGGCGGAAACGTGCAAGTGTTTGATCTGTGTGATTTGTAGGAATTACGAATCGCAGTCATGCTCGTTAAGTGTATTTTACGTGTATGTTTTTCCCCAGTGGGAAAATTAAAATATAGAAGCTGGCAGCATTGCCGGGGGTGTTGGGGGGGGGGTCTTCCAGTGGCGCCCCAGATCTCTGTCAACAGTGCAGCTCCTCTGACGGCCCCCCTCTCATTAATTAACCACCTTCCATCCAAATGTTTTCTGTCATCCATGTTCTTCTTTATCACGCTAATTATGGGATTGATATTTTGGCCACTCCTCCATGTAGAAAACACAGTAGAAATTAACGCAGACATCCGGAAAACACCTAGAGCTTTCAATCATCTGGAGATCCGCCATTTTCATGCTTCCTCCAAAGGATTCAGCTCCTACATCCCCTCTATTTCCCCCATCTCTCTTTCTCCCTCTTCTGTTTTTCTTTCTTTCTTTAGAAACAATACAATGCTTTGAATAACCTTCTGAAAAGAATGTGGCGCTATGACAGATGATTCTGATGGCAGAGGGAGAGTTATAATTTATGGATGGGTCATACTCAGCCATAATAGAACTTGGGGACATAATTTTGTTGGGTTTTCATGCTCGCATACAAGGTAAACGGGCATTTTTCTTTTCATTTGGGGGGGATTAAGGCATGATAAAATGCTGACACGTTCTCTGTCCCCACACCCTGTTCACAGGCGGCGAACATCCCCCTCGTCAGCGAGCTGGGCATCGACAAACTGTCCTTCGACGACTTCTCGCTGGACGTGGACGCCATGGTAACGGCGGCGCTGCGCATGTTCATGGAACTGGGCATGGTGCAGAAATTCAAAATTGACTATGAGGTGAGGAGCCCGAGGGTCATGCCTACAAGGCTGCCTGGTCATTGGGCCGACCGAGTGCCCATCCACACATAAGACCCCACTCCACCTATCTGTCGAGGATCTGATGTTAAGTCCCACCCACCCACACAGATAAATTAGGGCCTCTTAGGGACTGTGACAGGTTCAAGCATCTAAACCAAGCTCCTCCAAGGCTCATCCACCTACACATTGGTCCCCCCCCTCACAAGTATAAACACCCCCACAGAGTCAGGTCCCACCTTGAGCAGATCCACCCTCTCGCTGTTTTGTGGCTACCCCCCTCCTGCCTTCGCAGACCCTGTGCAGATGGCTTCTTACGGTGAGGAAGAACTACCGGATGGTGCTCTACCACAACTGGAGGCATGCCTTCAACGTGTGCCAGTGCATGTTCTCCATACTGACTGTGAGTATGCTCCCCCTGGTGGTCATACACTGGAACTGCCGATTGTAGTGCATATCTTAGCATGGCACTGTATGCGAAGCCACATCATCGCACGGGCACAGCATTGACATGGAAGGAAATCAGGTGACCACACTCACTCTCCGTGTTTCATCTCTTTGAGTACCAGTGATGATCCCTGCCTACGTCTATTTCTGGCCCCATGAAAATCAAAGTAAAACAGCTTCAGTGGATCCCAGAGAAGACCATAACACAGCATTTACACCTCCAGAAAACATATTCGATGCAGGGGCACCGATTCAGCTTCAGATCAGCTATTTGGAGCGAAAGCACTATCCTGCAGTTTTTCCAGGACAAATGTGCTGCCACAGACATACCCCCATGGTAATACGTGGCCTTTCTGCGGCATGCTGCTATTGTCTGACCCTGCTTGGTGATGAATCGAGCTCACTGTCCCCCCCCGCCCCCAGGACTGGGTCCGCAGCTCGATTCTCGAGTCGGGCCACAAGAACATGAGCTTGTTTATGGAACCTCTCACTGTCAGTCACATGACGCAGGAAGAGCTCCGGCATACATAAGACCCCCTTTTAGTGACAGTCGACCTGGGGGTGCAGTATTATGTTGCATTTTAATAATGCATCCATTAACATAACAGCTTATGCAGCACTGGGTCATGGTGAGCCTGACTCAGGAAGGACAGGACAAAACACAAGATGGGATGCCAGTCCATTGCAGGGACCTGACCTGTATATATTTATGTATTATATACCCAATGCAAACAGTACTTCATTCACGTTTTACTCTCTGTATGCGTGACCGTCAGACGGCAGGATTCCAGGAGACCCTGACGGAGGTGGAGATCCTGGCTCTCATCGTCGGCTGCATCTGCCACGACCTGGACCATCGCGGCACCAACAATGCCTTCCAGGCCAAGTGGGTACCCCCCCCCCCACCCTCACCACCTGACCCCCGACCTACCATATGGCGGCCTGTGGGCACCACGTAAGCCTTATGTAATGACAAACGAGCCCTCCGGCCCTGCTGTGAGAGCGCTAACGGCTCGTTCGGCAGCTGCTGCGCGGTGAGCTCTGTGGGCTGCACTCACCCCGTATACAATTAAAGCCAGGACAGTTAATGCAGACCCCTCCCGCTGCACTGCCATGCCGCCCTGGGGTCTCGCATAACGTAATGAATGCACCTGGATGTGTTCGCAGCCCAGCACTGCAGTTACCCACTGCTTTGCTCCTCGCTCATCCTTTTTCCCCTGTCTCTCTCCGGCTGTTTATCATTCTCCACCCTTCCCCTTTCTCCATCTCTCTCCCTCCATCCCCATCCCTCTCTCTCTTCTCCTATTAACTGTGTCTCTGGAAACTGTATTTGAGCACTTCATCCTCATCATCTTCGCACTTTATCACCAGGCACTTTATAGTCTGATGCTGCTAGGTTTGCTACGGTGTTACACCTTTGTGCAGGGGAGTGTCTTGTTTTGGCTGGAAGGTAGGGACTAATGTTTTGGGTGAGAGGAGTGGTGAGTAGGCTTGGGGGGGGGAGTGTATGAGTGAGTGAGTGTGGGCTGCCTTGGGGCTGAGGAGAAGGTGGGTGTGTGAGGGAGTGAAATGGAAGGGTTTTCACCTGTCTGCTACTTATTTATTAATTATTATTATTATTAATTAACTCTAAATTTCGTTGTGTTTGATACCATGTATTTTATGCAATGACAAATAAAGCTTCTATATCTATATCTTTTCCCCATCTCTCCCTCTTTCTAATCCCTCTTTCTCTCTTCTGCTTTTCCCATCTCTCTCCCTTTCCCGATCCCTTTCTATCCCTCTTCTCTCCTCCTTCCCATTCTCACTCCCTCCTTCCCCATCCCTTTCTTTCCCTATTCTCTTCTCCTTTTTCCCATCTCTCTCCCTCCTTTCCAATCGCTCCCCTGTTCCCCCATTTCTCTCCCACTTACCCAATCCTTCTTTTCCCCACCGCCTTCACCCCCATTTAGGACGGGTTCCGCCTTGTCCCTGCTGTATGGTACCTCAGCCACGATGGAGCACCACCACTTCAACCATGCCGTCATGATCCTGCAGAGCGAGGTACAGCCTATGGTCCTGCTGCCCTTCCTGCTTTCTCCTAGCTTGCCCCAGCTGACCCTGACCCCTTCCACAGCCCCTACTGCTCATAAGTGCTGAGCAGAGTGACGTAGTTCAGGGCCTCTGGCACTACGAGGCTTCAGATCTCCCACAAACATGGCAACCCTTCACTACAAGGGTTGCGACCTCCGGCACACATGGCAACCCTTCATTAAAAGGGTTCACTCCTCCCGCAGACATGGCAACCCTTCACTACCAGGGTTCTAGCCACTCACACACATGGCAACCCTTCATTAAAAGGGTTCACGCCTCCCGCAGACATGGCAACCCTTCACTACCAGGGTTCTAGCCACTCACACACATGGCAACCCTTCATTAAAAGGGTTCACGCCTCCCGCAGACATGGCAACCCTTCACTACCAGGGTTCTAGCCACTCACACACATGGCAACCCTTCATTAAAAGGGTTCACGCCTCCCGCAGACATGGCAACCCTTCACTACCAGGGTTCTAGCAACTCACACACATGGTAACCCTTCACCATGAGGGTTCTGACCTCCTGCAGTCATGGCGATCTTTCACGATACGGCTCTGATTCATTTTGCCTGATTCGGTCTCCTAGTTATCATCACATGGCTTGCGGTGCATCACATCACAGAAAACTAATTAAATATAAAATGACATGAATCAAAATTAGTGGTTGATTCAGTTTTATAGTATATAATTATGGTATAAAAAAGTGTAGAATTGACTGATTTAATTTGGCTTAAGCCAAATTGTTCAACAGATGTATGAAAACATCATTGTCCTACAGGGCATTCAAAAACATCTATGCTGCTCAAATTTGTTAAACATACATTGTTAACTGTTGCAACCATTATAGGGCTTTGAGGCTGCTTGAAATGTTTATTTTCAGTGATATTTTAATAGTTTTGTTTTTTATGTGTGTTTGCAGCAGATACAGTCCTTACCGGGAGCCCGGTGCCAGTCATTTTCTCGCAGTTTACCTTCCAGTATCTGGGAGGAATGCACAAAACAAACAGGATTCAAAGGAGAATCCGTAATTAGGAGAAGCGCGGTGTTCTTACAGGAGGATGAGTTTGTGTGTGGGGGGGTAATTAGGGAAATCCAGGCTGCGGCAGGAGAGGGATTAACGAGGCAGCCTTGTGCCGGGGTGCTTATCCTGCCTGTGATGACACCACGCGCTGACAAATGTTTGCCTGGAAAATCATAATGGTGTCTGATGTTTTGGGGAGTGGCCTAGGGTTAGCTACATTAGCATGCTAATGAGTAATGCCTTTAATTCATGGCATGGGGGAACTTGTAGCTCACCATACCAACGAGCAAGAACAGTTCATTAAACCTTTACTTTTCAGAGCGTCATTCCTTTGTCTGTCCTTGTCCATGCTTCTCTCTGTCTCTCTAAATACAGCTCCGTCTGTCTGCGTAGGGGGTCTGTACCCTCAGCTGGGGTGGTTTTCAATGTTTCACAGAACCTGAGACCCAAACTGGTCCAGGATAGCCTGTTATGAGCGAGCAAGGCGATAAGCGTGGGGGTGTCCAAGCGCTGACTCCTGACGTGTCGTTATGACATGCTGTCTGATCATGGCAAGATGTTTTCCTTTTTTCAACAGTAAGACAATAAGTAAAAGCAAATTAGCAAGGCGGAAGAAGAATGGGAGAGAGAGAAAAAAATGTTTTATTATCAAGGCAAGATGTTATAGTAACATCACCCTCATAGATGTTGTAAGTTTGAAGAAGGACACAGCAGGAAAGTCTGACAGAGGCTTCTGAGGGATCTGCTTGCAGAGTCACTAATGTGTGGGTCAGCATGGGGGGGTGGGTGGGGGGGTTTAGCTTGACTCCTCAGGCACTCCCCCAGCTTTACCTTGAGCCTGGGGAGGCAGTGTACATCTCAATGGGTTGGAACCAGCAGACTGATGCGGCCGATGAACCCCAGATCAAGGCCCTTAACCTGGCCGCTCTTGTGCCATGATCTTCATGTATGCTCTTGCCTGAATGTGCGTCTGTGTGTCTCACGGAGAGCAAGATGGGGTAGCAGAAAACAGAGTTTTGCCCATGGAGATGAATAAAGTATTTATGTTCTGTTCGAAAAAAAAGGCCATCGATACCGATGATCTGTGAGGCCGTGTCTGGGAGGCCAGTCCTCTGGCTCACAGACACCCTGTTTTGTGCCCACAGGGCCACAACATTTTTGCCAACCTGTCCTCCCAAGAGTATAGTGACCTGATGCAGCACCTGAAACAGTCAATACTCGCCACGGACATCACCTTGTACTTTGAGTAGGTGTCTCAGCCGCCGCCAGCCTATCAGAATTACCCATACACCCCGAGGCCTAACCCTCCACTTCCACATGTGCTGTTTGTGCACTGTCATGGACCTAATTAATCACTAATTAAGCACAATTGGCAAAGTTCTGACATACTCTCCACACACTGTTACCTTGTTCACTGCAGTAATCTGTCAGTATAGCAATCAGTAGGTACAAATGTCTTTATAACAGAAAGCTGTCAATGAAAAGACAAATTTCATGATATAATAATGTAAATATTATCACAATCATTCATTATAATTAACAAATCTGTAGAATTTAATTGAATGTGTTCTGGTGGAATGTGGTGCAGTGTTGTTTTAATGATTTAGCTGTGAGCATAATCACCGGTCATATTTCATCTTCAGTCAGGAAGCCAACCATGCATTGATTAATAACTTAGCACCAAGGCCAGTTTGGTGGCTTTGGAATCAGATGTTTAAGGTTGTAGTGGCCTCCTGTGGACAAAGTATGTCATTACACCTAAAAAAAAAATCACTATCTAAAGCTTGTCCCCTTTGGCCTCAATAGGAACAGAACCATGTTCTTTGAGCTGGTTAACAAAGGGGAGTACAACTGGAATGTGAAGGGTCACAGAGACATGTGCAGGTAATGAAACTGCTTTTTGGAACTACAGCAGAATTTCTAAAGAGGTGCTTTTCTCAGTACCTTTTGATAAAAATGTGCTCGTGGGAGTTTTATTTGCACAAAAATATTCTGAGGGCAGAAGGAAAAATGATTGGTTCAGAAAGATAACCAATTAGATTGTAGAGGAGGTGTGTCCAAGCAACTAGAGGAGGCAGGACCAAGACATCTGATTGGTCAGATGCAGATCTGCCCCCTCTAGTTGCTTGAACCCACCTCTTCTACAATCTGATTGGTTATCTCTCTGAACCAATGATTTTTCTTTCTGCCCTCAGAACATTTTTGCATAAGTGGAAGTCCCATGAGCTAAAAATGTTTGTACATTGGCTCGATGTGACCCATTCCATCTGCAATCTATGGTCCCATCCGCCTTCTGTGTGGCGTGTCAGTTGCAGTAGTGTCCGGAGTGTGGACCCCAGCACTGGAGATGCTTGTTGCTCTCTGCCTTTACAGGTCAATGCTGATGACGGCCTGTGATCTCGGGGCTGTGACCAAACCCTGGGAAATATCGAGAAAGGTAAATTTTACAGGGTCTTCAAATCAGAAGTAAGGGGGTCTTTAGCTCTCTCTGGGCTTCAGTCCACTCACCTCTAATGTGCACAGGTGTTACTCAGTTAAAACCTTGCTCACCATTATAACTGTTAATTCATTATAGCTTGCTCATACAGGCAGACATATTTAATACGTTTCTCCTGATTTTCAGGTAGCAGAGTTGGTCACCAGTGAGTTCTTTGAGCAGGGGGATAGGGAGCGATCCGAGCTGAAGCTCACTCCATCTGTGAGTCCCTCAGTCCTTCTTCTTCTGACTTCCACTGATTCAGTCATTGCCACAGAACCTTATATCATTGTCATATTACCCTCCTACCACAAGGGGGCCACATCACACACTGCAAGTACCACTATCACTGCCATGCAGTCAACAGGCTAAATCGCCAATGGCATCCAGTCTGGTTTAATGTACCACAATCTTTTGGCTGTAGATAACAGAAGCTTAGGGTAAAGTTAATGTTTCTCGGATCTCCCGGATGCGTAAGGTTTCCGCTTCCATCAATAAATAGGATTGCTGACTGAACAGTTAAAGCGGGCGGCAATAACCAGGAAGAGTGTTCTGTCGATTAATTGCTCATGGCCACACAGTTAGTCTTTGAGCTGAGACAGCAGATTCAGCTTTCTAGCCCCCATCAAACTTTGTCATGCAGAAGGTGGCTGTTATGAATTATGAATCACAGCCAGAACCCCCAGCCCAGCAATAGTTATCTCAGAAATACAGCTTTACTGCGGGGTGTGGGGGGGGGAGAGTCCACCACGAGGAAAGCAGCCCAGAATGAGATATAAGGTGTTAATTTATTTGTCTTCAAGCCATCATCTAGGGAGCAGGGAGATGTTTGGGGCGGGATGCTGTGACTGCGGGCAATGTGCCGTCAAAACTACCTAATTCTTTCCTCTCACTACCGTTCATCGACATTCCATCCCTGAGACCCCTGGCAGCAGGGTGCTGAGGTGTCAATTAGTATTTTTGTTGCAGGCGATTTTCGATCGGAACAGGAAGGACGAACTTCCGAGCCTGCAGCTGGAGTGGATCGACGGGATCTGTGCTCCGCTGTACGAGGTATCCCAGCATGACATCCCCGTAAACACTCTCTCTCCTTACCTCTCAGTCACCCCAAAAAAGAGCATCTCACACATAAATAAGAGTGCCTCTTCCATAAAATCCAAGCTGCACAACCAGACTTTCTGGAGATGTTCGCAGCAGCGATTCGGATTTGGCTGAACTGTAATGATGCGATGAATGTAGCTGCAATCCACGGGAGGTGCAGGTCACATGTCCTACCCTCCAGATCAAGGAGGAGCAGGAGGTTCCTCAGCAGAGACCCTCGCTGATTGAGCAAACATAAAAGGCAAGAGGGGGAGTGGCAGAAAAGGAGGTATGGGATTGGACAGAGAGGAAGGAGGAGTTTCCCAGCAAGGCTTGAAAATTCAATGAATTCACAGAATTAAAGGTCAACGAAGCAGTCACATGACCATCATATTCCTCACTAATAATCACCTCTGTAAAAGAAACAAAAAGTATTCTGTCATGAATATTCTTGTCCCTTAAATTCATTTACCCTAAATTAGATTATTCCCTGTTTATTAAACAAGTTTTTAACATTTATCATAGCAGGACAAGGGTAACAAATAAGAACTGTAGGTGGGAGTGTAACTATTAGGCGGACTTGGTAGGGTTAATCTGAGAAGCCCAGATTCTCCTCACACGCAGCATACGGCCCCTGGGGGGCAGCATGGGCGCTGACAGTGAGACAGCAGAGATGTCTACCAGGGCTCCGCACTGCCAATTATAAAGCAGGAGGCTCTGAGGCGGCTGGGCCCTGCAGAGCGTGGGAGGAGAAAAAGATGTAGATCCGGCCCCCAGGGGCCACCACGCCGAATGTTAATGGGACGCTGCGCAACAGGCCTCTTCTGAAGCCCCTCGGGCAATTAGACCCCTTTCTCAACCTGTGGGGGGGGGGGGCAAAAAGTGGGTCTATTAGAGCCGAGACTCCAGCTACTTACAGAGATGAGCTATCCATGCCGTCTGCAGATATTCAGACAGACTGTGTCACAAGCAACGCCTGAATGGCTAAGCAGAGAATCAGGAGAATTCCTGGTGAGTCACCCTGGTTGTGGGCTGCTGGTGGGAGATGGAAAATGTAATTAAATTTTAATTTAATTTAATTTAATTTAATATTAATGCTATAATTTACTCAGTGACCCCCTTCCCTTGACTAAATTTACCGCTGGCGCTCCTCCCCCCACTGTCCCCCAAAAAGGCTGGTCTGAGGTGTGAGATTCCCGACCCTGTTTGCAGGGTGCAGCCAGTCAGCCGTGTCCATGCTCCTGTCACTGGTGTCACTCCTGGTGTTTAAACGTGCACCACGCTTCTTTGCAGCATAAAGACGCATTTTTTAAGTGCCTCTTCCCCTCTAAAAGGTTAAAAGCCTGCATAGCAAAAGAGGCTGCCTGGAAACTTCTCTGCTCTGCAAGTATAAAAATTTGGCTTTTCACACTAAAGATGGCTAATTGGTTTCACACCCTAATGGGCATAAAAACCTTTTCTCATATAAACAAGAGAGGTTTTTAAAACCATAAGTTTGAGATGCACAAGTATGACTCACAATCCTATTATGGACAGAGAAGGAAATAAAAAAGTTTTCCTTTTTAAAAGAGGCTCAGTACCTAAAAGAGGGACAGTGCGTCGTCTTTTGGTGTGTTCCATTTGAACTCAGAAGTCGGAATTTTAAAGTTACAAAATGGGAAATTTCCACTGGAAAGCCCCCGGAAGTTAGAGGAACCTCTGCAACCCCGATCTCAGAATTCAAGATGAAAGCTTTAGTTACATACTATTTATTAGCATATATGTCTTATTTGTGTCTCATTAAATCGGTCATACACACAATTCTGTCCGAACACTACCTGTGAACATGTTGTTAAGGTGTTTGTATGCGCAAAATATCCTCGTGATGCCTTATCAACTGTAACGGGTGTATTGCTAACGATCGCTAAAAATGAACCTGGCTAGGTTCATTTATGGTATTGCTAAATGGTTTTCCGACTTCTTGTGCTGGAACACGGTTAACTTGGGTGTTACATCATCCGCAGCTCCGACCTCCAAAGAAAAGGGAACGCAGCATTTAGTCATGGTGTAATTACTACTGTCTTGCCAGCAGGGGGCAGCATGAGCAAACACTAAGGTCACGTCCCCAAAGTGTCGCCTGCATTCCTGTGCTAAGTGCCACGTTGTCACTGTACTTACGAGGAGCCCCTGGGGTTTAAACTGGGTCTAAACTGTAGGCAGGGACCTATGGATTAGTGTTTTTACTTTCTGCATGTTGCCCCTGTGAGGCCTGCATCACACTATAAATAAACCAGCGGACATAAACACCTTTATTGCAACCTAAACTTTTATGTCATTTAACTCACTGGTGATGACTAGACAACTTTTTAACAAAAATACAGATATAGGGGGTGTAGGAAATGGATGGATGGATGGATGGATGTGCCTCCAAATGGCAAATCAGTCCCGGCTGCTCTGATTGCCCCTTGTCTCCACCCCCGCTCCAGACCCTGGTCAAGCTGAACTCCAAGGTCCAGCCAATGGTGGACATGATTCGGGAGAACAGGGCCAGGTGGGAGGAGCTACATCACTCACGGCAGCTCATCCAGGAGGGCAGCCCAGGGAGCAGCGACAGGCGCTCGGCCCAAGGCAGCGGCGACCCCCCCAGTGCAGGTTCCCCCCCCAGAAACCCCAGCTAGCTCTCACCCCCGCCTTCCAGCCCCCCCCCCCACCCCCCATCTACCACCATATTTTTGCCTCTTCGCTTTTTTACCTGGATCTACAGCCTCAAGAAACAAGCCACGCTGTGCATGCAGGGAGTTTGTAGCGCTCTGCTTCAAGCTTCGGCCCCACCCCCACTCCCCGCCTCCTGTGGGTGGGCCGAGACATGGGGCTTGAGGTGGAGTCAGGGATGCATAAAAAAAACGCTACTTCATGCATAGAGACAGCTGCGTGAGGGGTGGGCAGATGAAGCCCCTCCCTGCATTAATCATCTGGTTGGATCGCATGGTAAAGCCCTTCCACTCAGCTATGAGGACTTGGAGAGCGGGGGAGAGAGACAGCGACAGGCCAGCCCCTCCCTCTACTCTGCTCTCCTTCAGAGGAGAAATTGCTGGGATGGATGTATCAGCTTATTTCTTCCCCTTAAACTCTTTCTTAGACCATATGTCGCAGAAATATGGCGAGAACATTTTTATACTGTATGTATGTATTTTCTAAAGGATGCACTGTGCAAGTGCCATCTGCTGTCGATTGTTTGCTTGGCTTCGTGTCAACGAGACCTGTGCAGCCCTGAGATGACGGGGGCGGTACGGTCGGGCGCTGGGCGTGGCCTGCCTTGCGGCTCCCTGTGCCTTGTTTACTGGTCATTAAGAGGAATGCATGACATCCTCAGCATCAGAAACTTCCTTAGAAAAAAAGCGCCGAAAGACCCAGAAACCGTGTCGATGTGACATTTAGTTTTAAGCGTTAATTTTCGTTCATCAAAACTCTCTCACCGTCTTTGAGCATTAGTTTAACTTACCGGTTCGAACTATTTAAAAAGTGCCATATGGAGGCCACCTCTAGGGGGCGCCGGTCATTTACCTTAAACTAATTTTGCACCAATGAAATAAGCTAAACCGCTTGCAGCAATGGAAACGGCAACACACAGGAATGTATTTATCGAAACATGTCGATAATTAATTACACTTTAATTACACGTTTCCTGCACATCTCCTCCTGGCGGACATGCAGAGAGAAACGGCAGAGCAGATGTTTAAGGGTGACATTGCTGTTCCCCCACAGCTAGTGATAACTCAGTTAGCACCTTATTATAAAGCTGATTTAATTTCCAGTAAAGCGGACCAGCACCAAGCTTGCTTACTGCGGTGTTAATCAAATGCAGGCTGCACATGCTGTGATGATCTTTAGAACAAGAAAAGTAAATTAAACTGCACACACAATACATATACACATCTTACTAGAAGTGGTATTAAATATCACACGCATAATTCTTAAATAACAGATCAGTCCAAATCACATCGTTGTCTTTAGTTAATGTTAAATTGTATATTACGACAATATCGTGGCAGCGGTAATTTCCCCCTTTTTGCGACATCTACGTCTTAACTGCATGGACCATGACATGAAATAGAAGCTAACCGCGGCAGGTACACCAGGCGTATTGTAAGCTGATAATCTTGGCTTGCCGACTGTTAACTCGTCTTTGTACGTGGTTATGTAATTTCATTTGTTATTCGAAACGTTTTATCCTTAAATGAGCTGCATGGGTTGTAGTAAAGCCTTTTGGGGTGAGTATCGAGAAAGCCGGGTCCGGTTATATTTGTACTTTTGATTTTTTTGAGTATGTGACTTCTCCCTTTGCTTTATAATAGGCAACTTCTGGGCAGCTTTCTTATTTATGTACTCTAGCCATGATCTAAGTATTATCAGCGATCAGCAAGCTGACACGAAGGGAACCTTAAACGCATGATATTCGGAAATTTGCGACGTTTTGTTAAGTTTGTCGAAATAAATCTCTGCTGCAAAAATGGTTTCGTTAAGCCTTCGCCCTGCATGTATATACTGACCCAGACGTTACAATATCCGTACAGATAGCCGTGACACGCACACCGCATTCGAGACGTGAACACTGAGGATTGATGGCTAGTGGGTGGAAATCTGTGCAGGCAGATAATAATCGATTATAGAGCTTTAGTCGAAAACATACCCTGAGTTTATAGGAACAATATACCACAGTACAACGTAAACAAGGAAAGACATTATATCCACTGCATGGTACAAATAATCTGGCATCTTGGAGGAAAGTTTACACCCCCCGCCCCCCAATCTTGGAGTTTGAATAAAATTAGCTAAAGACAGGGCACTATAGACGAATGATCATTTGAGTGTATTTTGGAGGAATAACGGGGTGTGTAGAAGGTTAATTGGGACTAGCAGCTGAGACAGACCATATAGTCCCTTCGTTGGGGGCCTGGCTCAGTGAAAGGTCTCCCTGGATTCAGGCTGTGGGTTTGAGCTGTAAAAAAAGAACAGCCAGAAGATCTGAGATAGCTTGCAGCTCAGTGCCTATGATTGGATGGTTACGGGTTCAAATGGTGTAGTGAGCAGAGTGATATCTCCATTGGGCCCTTAACCCTGATTGCTGCATGGTCTCACTGACCTTGCTTTCTTAATTGTATTTATTTATGATGTGGTGCCCCTGCAACTGCAGGTGGTACGTTCCACAGCCTACAGCGGATAGCCGAAACCACAGATAATGGTGAACCATCGGCGGACTCCGTTTATAACCTGATTTTCGTAAACTTTACATCTTGTAATTGATAAATTACACACAGTACGGTATTATCAACATTACAGTAATAATAAAGTACATTGTACTTCATACAGTACAGTAATCTCCAATAAAAGGGATTCGGACGTTTTTCATTCTTAAGAGATGACAGCAATGAATAAATGTCGTATCGAGGGATGACAGAGAAATGAAAATCATGCTTTTTATACCCCTCAAAGGACTGAGGAACAATGAAAAAACATGTTACACAGCTTACATTTTTTTCAGACTGTGGTAAACCACAGACTGCTGTATTGAGTAAATGGTTGCAATGCCCTCAACGGACTGGTGCTGTAGACATGCACTCTGGGACGCCCCATTAAGGTCCAACAGCCGTCACCTGACCCCCTCAGTAGCATCTCCAAACTGGAAACACGAGCCCAATCCTCAGACCCGAACAACCACACGGGTGACAAAAGGCGACCCTTTCGTGTGGCTGATGACTGTAGCGTCAAAACGCCGGTGGGAAGCGGCCAGGGTCCTGGAAGGCAGGCAGAGGCGATATTCAGCTATTCAGATCTCTGCACAATGGTGAGAGCCAAGGACAGGCCGTTTGTCTCCAGATTTTCCATTTTAGAACTGCAGGGGGGGGGAGCACAAAGCTTTCCTGAAAGTGACTGCCATTATTTAGGTTAGGCCGGAGACACCAGGCTGGAGGAAGGGCGGGCACCACCATTAAAGAGCAGTAAATGAAAAACATAAATTCAGACCTTGGGATGTTTCACCAAGAACAAAATTTGCCATTTTAGCAGAGACACCCGAAAAGATGAACAGGTATTCTGGACTGCACTGACAAGTCAACCCTTGACTGACCTAGTCCAAACAGACTCTTTATCATAGTAACAAACTGTAACACACCGTCTCACAGCATTTGCCCGCTGCCATCTCTGAACCCAGCTTACCAGTGTAGAGAACAAGGACAGATGGGAAACGCAAAGCCAAGCTCTTTAATTTATTGCATCAATGTCACTGATAAAAGTACTTCATTGCTAGTATGTGATGATCTGAAAGGAATCGACTTTTCTAGTGGTAAAGGGTAAAACCTGATACTTAGGGGTTATCTGGAGGGTGGACTGCACCCTACCCACCTCCCCCACTGGAGGGGATCTTACCCACTGCCCTCACATGGGCAGAACATGCTTACAGAACACGAGTGTGGGATGGAGAGGAGTGTTTGTCAGGTGGAACTCAGCTGATAAGCTGGTGTGTGTGGAGTAGGGGTTAACAGGTAATCACACAACAAATACATTACAACACATTTGGTTTTATTATTTCCTTCTAGCACCTTACAGTTTGTTTCACGAGTTATTGGCTTCGGTTTACGGTCTACAAACACGACAAAGATTTCAGCCAGAAGGTTAAACCATAGTGCATATTCGTTGGTCAATAAAGACAATGTTACATTTTAACACTGGGGGACAGAGGTCGTTTAGAAAACACTGGCGTTAAGGTAGAAATCCACGATTGAAATGTCAACCAGGCAAGTTCATCTGGATACATCTGAATGTGTTAGAAATGTTAACATTGAACTAAACTCAGCAACTTCCTAAAAAAAGTGTTCATCTTTAAAAACATTATCTTTTCCAGGACAGTTAGACAGTAACAGTCACATATTAATAATTTTGAGATATTTAAAATAAAAATTTCTGGCTTTTTGCATGTGCGGAGTAACACAAAAGGAAAAAAAAAAGAAGAAAACCATGGCCCGTGTTTCTCGCTGAAGTCCTCTGAGGAGTCCGCGATCACGCACACATTCATGGGGCCCGGCACGTCTGGCAGCTTCAGAGTCTTTGGTACAAACACGCGCGTGCCAGCAGACGGGTGTGGAAGGCTTGAGTTCACATTCACGCTGAATTACAAAGGTACAGACAACTCACTGACTGGCAATAGGGCAAAAAAAGATACCATGGCAAACGTAACCCTATCCGTAATCAAGACCACATCCAGGCTCCTCTTCCATCTGCGACAGTATGAACTGAATTTATACAAATGACAGGCAATGAAATGCATATAAAAGTAAAAAAAAAAAAAAAAACCTGAAATGAGACCCAAAAAAGTATATAATTGTTTTCAGGGACATCCTGTGTATAATGGCTGGTCGCCCTAAAGAAGAAGCTACACATACAACAGGCTGAAGATGGTAATTAGAGAATGGAAAGGCATTCGTCAAAAGGGCGGACGGGGCCGTGAGCGGCATGTGGGGGCGGGGTCCCGGCCGAAAGGGGATCCTGCGAGCTCCTGAGTCTGGAACCTGGGCGACGTTAACGATGTACAGGCCGGGCTCAGTGACTACACAGCGGCAGGGTGTGGACAGCCAGACTCCAGACGCCCATACTACAGGGAGGGCGAGCGAGCGGCTTGACGAGAGAGGGAATCAGACCCCAATGTATTGAACTTAAAAAAAAAAAAAAAAAACTTCATTTTAGTAGTAGAAACTGGAT